AAAACAAAATAAAAATTTCAGGTTTGTGTAAAATTGTAGATCTTGCGTAGGCAAATCTAATATACTCCTTACAATTGAAATTCCATACAACTTTTATGGCAATTAAAATGCTTCTTTGAATTTTCTTGACTGTTCATCAGAATCATAAGGTGGCTTTTTTTACCATCTATAGAAAGATGCAGAATGCTCACTTCTATCAAATGGTGAAAATCGCAGACTGATAGCTATTTCCATTGAAAATTTATTCAAAAAACAGCTACCCTTCTTCTACTTTGGATCGAATAATAGTTCTAGATCACAGCTTTTGGATTGTTTCGAAGTACTTTCTAGCAGACCAAAAGTGAGCGAACATTTTGTCTAACAACTTTCGGATCACTAATTAGGGTGTAGGTGTGGGTGTGAGTTTAAGCATCGATATTCTCACATATTTTACACCCACATCCGTTTGCTGCTGTTGATCTAAATCAGACATTTTTAAAATACAGCTGTTAACGAGTATCGAATTATATAGCGACACAACTGATGACAATCAATATGGCAAGAGTCTACATATACAATCAAAGCGCGATCATCATGTTTTATAGTTTATTGCTGTATGAAATGCGCTGAAAACGTTTTACCTAATGTGCTCATTTATTGTCAAATATTGTGGATCATGTCCGTGAAAACAGTTTCAGTATGTTGCAGTATCAAAAAGTCGCGTAGAAAAGGGCAAGAAGAAAAACTTTCACAACTCTACCGCAAAAAGTGTTTCTCCACATTCTTTGTTTTTGTAGCAAAGGCATACTTTTGTCGTAATTTACTTTGCCTGATCTATTCGAAAAACTGACACTGTGAAGTTGGCAAATTTATTGAGAATATTTCGGTGTTGAAAAAAGATGCATTACAAAAAAAGAAAAAAACTTTGTATGGCCTTCTCCTTCTCCCAAAATTCCGGTTCGGTGCACTATTAATAGTAATTATAAAACCTTCGTGTCATAAACACGTAAGGGTTTATTATATTACAGTCCCCTTTACAGAACGGACTTCCTACGATCAAAGACTATATGAAAACCAAAACACAGCTAAGAAGCAAGCTGTTTCAATCGTAGCCTACCAGTTTAGAGCATCGCTGCTCCTTTATTTTGGGTGATGTAAATGTGCGTACGAAAATGCACTAGATGTGTAAATTTATCGGTGATGGAAATGTGCGTGAGAAAATGCACAAGGTATGTAAATTTAAAAGTAGATTGTGATTGAAAAAAAAAGATAAGCGTTGTAAAAAAACTTATGTCACAGCATACTCGAGAAAAAGAAGTAAAAGAAAAGCGAAAGATGCTGCTATCAACTGAAGCCTCTCGTACCATGTTGGTTGTCTTATCTATGTATCAGTGATTCTTAGACTTGGTTGAATAGAAATACTAGATCGGAATCAAAACTATGATAAAAGATTGTGATGAATTATGCAATCCATCAAGGTGATAGACAAGATATGTATGTGACTGTGAATGAAAGAAGAAGACAGTCTTCCGCACACTCACACACCCACACCACACCCACACCCCCACCCCCACCCCCACCCACACCCAACCCACACCCACACTTCTTAAACTAAGCTAGACTCAAATACTTTTCTTCTTGCATCAGATTTATAGACTTGAGCAGCGCATTATGCTTTGTTTACAAACTGCAATATTTTTCGTTGCCTCCACCAGCTAATAATAACATTTTTTCCAATCCAGTGGACTTAGAAAAAGGTTTTGAAGGAACACTGAGTTTTGTACAACTAAATATTGAGTCATACATCATCAGTAAATTTAAGTAGGCATCCTTCATTGCAAGTGAAAAAGAATTGTGTGAAGAATCTCAGCCAAATTAACTAGGATTTGCCAAAAATTTTACTTCACTTTTGGCGACTAGGATTAAATTTTTATTAGATTGTTTCAATAATGCAGAAGATAACAATATAATATCTATTTTTTGTGAAATACATTCTGCTTCGTCATTAGCCTTTTTTCCTATCGAATAGATAAGAATTCATTCTTTCGAAAAGTCGCATTTCGATAAACATAAATCTTCGAATGTTTTTTTAAAGCGATTTTTCAACAGTAAATCTCTCCTTGAATCCAAAGTAATGAAATGAATCGTGTTTCATCTAAATTGACAAATTAATTAACACATCATGCTGCCTTTCATCTTCAACGTACATTTAACTACCAAATATTTTCGAGAAAGAAATACTAAGCACAAGAATGTTTTTTTTTTATTGTTCTGTTTGATTAAAATGTTTTTTTTCCTTCAGCATGCACTATAACCCATGGTAAAAAGTGCAAGGAAGTAAGAGAACAGAAGAAAAATGCAAGAAATATAATCAACACGTGTGAATATAAATGCAAGGTAAACCATAATTTTGAATTTCTATGATTTTACTATATTACGATGAAATTCAACAAAAAATTTAACGAGGAAGTGAGTAACTTACTTTTATCTGTTGTTCGTCAAGGGGATATCAAAGCACTTGAAAGTCATTTATCGACAATTAGCAACCCCGAGATCTACTTAAATCGAATATATGACGAACTAGACGAACAAAAATGCACTTTACTCATGATTGCTTGTTTACATAAGTTCGAAGACATGATACAAACATTGCTTAATTATTCTGGACTTGATCTCGAAGTGCTAAATGATATAGAACTTGTTGAAAAAGATCAAAGTTTATTAATGTATGAGAATGTGACTGTTCTATGGGCAGCAGCTGCCATCAATAATTTCAAAATTGTGCAATTACTCGTCAAACATGGTGCTCGAGTTAATCACAAAACTAAAACGAATTCAACAGCATTTCGTTGTGCTTGTTGGAATGGTAATATTGATATGGCTCGTTATTTGCATGAGAATGGTGCTGATGTGCGTATTGCTAAAATACAAAATGAAACAAATCTTCTTACAAGTGTTTACAATGAAGATTTACAAGTGACAACTTATCTTGTTGATGAATTAGGCTGCGATGTGAATGAGTCGATGGATGATAGACGTTCACCGCTGTACATTGCTGTCGACCGTGGATCACTTGAATTAGTTCAATTTTTGTTGAATTATGGTGCTCGAAATTCTCAAGCAAATTATGATAACATGTCTCCACTATTATTAGCAGCAGAAAAGAGACGAATTGATCTCACCGATCTTATTTCCCCTCAATGTTCATTGCTTGAACAAATCGAAGCTCAAGAATTACTTGGAAGTGCTTTTGCCTGTGGTGAGCATGGAACTTGTAATCTTGAAAAGTCATTTAAATACTTTCATCGAGCACTGGAACTTCGATTTCAACATAATCTTCCTAAAGCTCTAAGATTGTCAACTGTTGAAGTGCTCGATAACCGACAAGAATGTCAAACAATCGATGAGCTAGAAGAACTTCGATTAAGTGATGATCATATGTACACTGAAGCCTTACTTGTACGTGAACGTTTGCTTGGACCAACTAATGCAAAATACTATCGATCTCTCCGATTTCGTGGTGCCACTCTAGCTGATAATATACAGCATCATCAAGGAATATGTTTTTGGTTGTACGAACTTAATTCACGTCGACAGCATTCATTATTGATAGACATCGAGGATTTACGTCAGTGGGCTTCGATGTTTAGTGACATGTTACGTAATTCATTATCAATACCGATTGTATCATGGCAGACAATAATAAAAGTAATAGTTGAAGAATTAGAACATAACACGAAGGATTTCGATTATAATCTACATACATTACTTTTCTTAATAACAATCGTTAGTCAGGTATTGAGATGTTTAGTAGAAATTTGGTTGATTTTTCTATGGAGATTTTTTTGTTTAGATGCTATCAAAATCAATTATTTCATATGATGATCGTAAACTTTTTTATCGACATATTCATAGCATTGTTCAATGTCAGTATGTCACTCAAACCTATCGATCTTCTCTATTACATTTGAGTCTAAGCAATCATACATCTGCCAATGACTTTTTCATCGATTCCATTTGCAAGTATGTTTTTTTTTTTCTTAAAATACTTATTTTTGGAAGGTTATCTATTATTATAGATATCCATGTTTACATACAGCTCGTTTACTTGTACAATGTGGTGCTAAAGTGAATGCAATGGATGCTGTTCGAAACACACCTCTTCATCTATTTGTTTCCCAATCAACTATAGTTGATGACACTATAATTCAATATCTATGTGATGCTGGTGCACATCTCGACTGTGTCAATGCTTTAGGAGAGACACCCATTGATATTGCAACGAATTCAAATATTAGGCAATTTCTTAAAGCCAGAACAAAACTTAGTTTGAAGTGCTTATGTGCGAGATTAATACAAAAGAATTCCATTTCATGTCAGGGAAAGATTGCTAATTCTCTTGTTAATTTCGTCGAAAAACACTAAATATCTAAGAAAAGACTCTTGAATTTATCGTATTTTTTATCTAAGATAACAAGAGTTTTATTTGTATGCCACGTCAAATTACTTAAATGTGAAGTAGATTTATTAAACGGACAATTAATTTATATTTTTTTGATAATTAAAAATTTTGCTAAATTGCATATAGTACATAAATATCATCGTCTATGGTCTTGCTGATTATACTTTTTTTAAATCAAAAGTTTTTTCTGCATGTCTTTTAAGAAAAATCAGTGATATTGACACATACTATCCAACATAAGAAAAAAAACTGAAAAGACAAGACAGATATGTTGCTGTAGACTTGAGATTGAGAATGCATGGTGAAGACGTTCACTTCAGTCGCATTACCATCTTTGTTCGTTCACTCTTATCTTCACGTGTATTCATAGTAGACTCTGAAGATCGAAAAAAAAAGATTGAATTGTTCTGAGCTAAAATTAACGTTTGATGAGACAGTTGAATTTGCTGTACAGTTTTGAAATTCGAACAATAAACCGAACACAATATCACACCACTTGAAATATTCTATATTTCAATTCAAATTTTAGCATTCAAAAAGATGAGAAGTTTATGTTGAAGTTTTATTTAAATAGTTATCTCAAATTCAAATATACATGTTTAGTTCAGGATGCTATACACAAGAATACTATTCTCAAATTTTTGCACAATCATGTCATAAAATCTTTAGTCTAATATTAAATAGAAGAATGTTCGATGTAGAGTTAGCACGATCGATTTAGATCGATTTAGATCGATTCGAAAATATTTTACTTTTGAATTGTATAGAGATCTAGTAAAAGCGAGGATGTCACGGTATATGTTGTCGAACATGCTCAGTCAGTTTCTGCCCTCCGCAAGCCTTACATCAAGGATTCAGAGTTCATCGAAATCCGTCGGTTCGATTCACATGAATATGGAAACAAAAATTGAATAGAATTTTTTAATTTAAATATAAATCAGAATAGTAAAATAAAAGTTTCAACAAAACAAAAAATATTGAAATGTGATATTAAAATAATTTTTTCTTCTTTGTCTTATATCAGAGACGAACACATGATTCCAAACATATTTTTGTGGAAAAATATAACTTAAATGGAAGAAATAACTAAACTTGTGTTATAGAAAAGTTTATCACAGAATCAATGAATGAATTAAATTAGATTTTATTTGAATATAAGAAACAACAAAAGAAGGAATTCAACTAACAAAGTAAAATGAAAGGTCTCTATGAAAAATTTATCTAAATACTAAGTTTTCACCATTAAAATAATTACAAGAATATATTTTTTTATTATTCATAATCATTTAATAAGTAACTAAAATTTTAATTCAAAAAAATCTCTTGAAAAATACTCAAAATATGTTTTATACATGCTGATAAAAATGTTGAAAACTATTAAAAATAATCTATTATTTTCATATGTTTTATCAGGTTGATACAGTAAAAATAATTTCAGGATATACAGTAGGACTTATTATAATTGTTTTCAAAAAAATAACATTCTGTATGACCAGTTTTCGTACAGTCGAAAGCTTTGCGTGCTACATCTTGCGGTATATTTTGTTTTTTTTTTTTAATGAAACGTATTCAACGATGAAAAATAAAATTCAAAGTCTTGTCACAGATTATGGTTCACCCATTATTGACAAGAAAAAGAATCATCTGTAGTCTCATATGTTTTGTTAAAAAAGACATGAAAAAAAATGATATTTTTATACATATGGTTTTATCTTGCATTTATACGAAGCAATTGCAAATATTTAAAATAGCTTTAACGTTCATGTATGACATACGGCGACTAGAAAAATATTTTGAAAATAAATAGAAATTTCTGAAACTACAAGTATTTTTTAGCTTTCACGTTCGACGGATTTTACTGTTGTCAATTATTTTCTATATCAGCAAATTGTTGACAGAGTATATTTTGATGGAGACAATGTCATGATTTTAGTTTGATAAAGACAATGAAAATAAGAAAAGAGTTACGACAAGATTCGAGCTATTTGATTGTGAATAAATCATATAGAAAGGTGTAATTAGTTATTTAAATGTTCAATTTATTTTATTGCAACGAGTTAAATAAACATTCGACCAAAATACATTTGTGTTCCCCTAGTTGAAAGAGAAATTCAATGAATCGTGTAAGAAAGAACAGAAAAATTATTCATTCTGAATATTTCTGTCACGCATTCATTCATTAAATAGAAACTATGAGATTTCTAATAGCTCTATCCTTTAGTATCTTATTTTCATGTGTACAAGGCTTGATGATTTATTTCTTCTCAGTGTATTCTTTCATAGTCTAAGTCATATTTAGGTCAATCTACAACAGCACCTAATTACTATTGTGCTGAAAATAGTAAAACTGTCCAATTTACATTGATGACGTCATCTCATTCTGCATGGCAATCAGCATCAAACTGCTCTTTACAACAATGTAATTTAAACTTAAATGATAACAACAACTGTCTTTCGTCATCAACATCTTGCTTCAATTACTGTGCATTCAACAATAGTAGCTATTGTGTATCAAATACTTCCGTATGCATTGTTAACTCGTGCTACGCACCAAAATCAGTATGTCTACCATTGTCAGTGATGAATTAATCTAAAAGAGGTAAAGACACATTTGTCTCAAATTTGTAAGTGTATAGGAAGTAATTAAAGTTATTTTGTCAGGATTTTAGTTAAGACATGAGTAGATATGACATTCTAGTTTTAAAAAAGTCAAGTGTTAAAGCAGATGTACTGAATATGTCCGCGATGATCGGTTTCGACTTTTCCATGACCCTAGAGTCTATGTTTTTGATAACAATGGTCAACTCAACTTTGAATTCTAATAATGAGGCACTCCTCAAACTTCATGTATTGTGCCTGGAGTTCTCTTCAGTTATTCAAGAAAATTTTTTCTTTTTTCGTTTCATCTTTAGCCTTTGTTGCTGGATAAAATAGAATGTACTGATTACAAATATCACATTCTTTGCCGACATAAACTAAATAAATAGAAAGATCTTGAGCATTTTTCAAAAGCCTGAAAAACAGTATTCGAGCTAAAAGGCAATTAATATCTATGCATGATTTATTGAAAATAGACTAACTCGATACAGAATTTTTATCTCTATTAGAATCTATAAAAATGTTTTGGAGTAATTAGTCCTTTCTAATCGTTAATCATCGAACATCACTCGACAGTTAGGTTTATGGATTTAAGTAGGGTTTTTTTTGCATCGCTACGATAACATAGTATACATAGACGAGTCATCAAGATATTTACATTCAAAGTGCAATTCAATGAACTCGTTCTAATGAGACTATTTTGAACATGATATTTAGCTTTTGAATAATCACTTGACAAAAATCTGATTTTTTTTTTTAGAATATTCTAATAAAAAGTATGTTATCAATTTAAGAATGTTGAAAATAGTCTTAATAGAAAGATGTAATTGAATTATACTTTCGATGTAAGAATTTCGTTGACTCCGTCATGTGCACTATATTTTCGTACGACTGAAAAAACCCCTCCTTGAAATCATAGACTACGATTGAGACAGTATTTGATGATTATTGATTAAAAAAAGATTAATAGCTTCAAAATATTTTTATAGATTATGATAAAGATGAAAATTCTATATTAGATGAGTGTATTTTACAATTAGTCTTGCACGGATATTAATGATCTTTAGACTCGAATACTGCTTTTTGGGTCTTACTAAAATGCTCTAAGTTTCTTTTATTACTCGGCTTATATCAGTAATAAATGTGATATGTGTGATCAGCACATCCTATTCTATCGATCTACAAAGATTATAGATGGAATAAGGAAAATAAATTTTCTTGAATATCTAAAGAAGACACCAGATGCAAAATAAATCTGTGGAAATTAATAAGGATCCATCAGCATATTGCAATTGGCAGTTAGTTTCTGTGATATTGAAAGTGATACATCTAGTTTGAGAAATGCGTCATTGTCAGGAGTCAAAAATTAATTGACGGTCGTTATCAGAAATATTGACTCTAAGATTTGGGGAAAGACGAAATCGACCATCGAAGACATAATCAACACATCTATTTTAAATTTAGCTTTTAAAGCTAAATTCCAGTGACAATAATATGAGAGATTGATCGACATAAATTTGACCAATCAAGTTAAAGATGAAAATGAGATGGAAAATTAAAACAGATTGACATTTTCCATATAATCAGAAAACAAAAAATCGATGTGATACGGCAAATCGGCTAACACAGAAGTCATCGTTTTTGCAATAGTTTAAAGTTTTGTTTTTCGTCTTTTTTCAAGAAAGACTTATATTCCAGTTGCAATCATTTGAAAGATGTTAAACTATACCAATGATAATATCCAGTTTCTTCGTCTTAAAAGTAATACTTAAAAATAATTCTGTCGACAATCTTCATGATATTCTTAGACTTGTTGATAGACAGTGTTCTGAGAGAACATTCTCTAAGAATAATCATATTGTAAGTAAAATCACTGAGCTGGGTGATAATATAATATGAATAATCATATCTAGATGAACAGAATTTTTATATAGATCAAGTCAGGTTAAAAAAAATATCAAATAAGAGCATCCAATCGAATATCTCGTTTTAAACTGCTGAGAATTTCTTGTTCATTGAGACATGATTGATTAAGAAAGATTATTTAAAGTAATATTTCTTTTGCTCAGCCTCATCTTTCACATACATTTTTTTACCTCTGTCTGGTGCCGTTGTCTTTTAATAGTATTAAATTACTCTTATATTGAATGTGATTGGGTCGATGATATCAATTATCGATGTTAGATCTTGGATAGGATTTGAATAATGAAAACTGATATTTCAAAGAAAATATCTGTCGACTTGAATTAGTTGAAAAAAAACGGTCACTACAATCCTCTTTTTTAACTGGCAAGAACCTTGCATTCTTCAATCGATGTAGATTAATAGCATTATCAGATTATTTTTAGTATCTTCATCAGCTATTAGGTTAATACTTCAATCAATTTTGTTCTTTATTAGACATGTTTCTTGAACCTTCTATTCAATGATAGTTTATTTTTAGTAAACTATTATCAGTATTTTAACCAAAAGTAGAGAAATACAAGCCTGTTCTTTCAGGGAGACAATGAAAATCAATGGAACTTCGAGACAGTATTGCTGGTCGGAAAGTCTTCGAATTTTTACGGTGACTTTCGATCAACTGCTTCTTTCTGGCGGGAAACAGCCAAAAAACTCTCCAATCTGAAACATTGGTTCAAATTTCCATAGATTTTTTATGTTTTTCTGTCTCCTGAATATATTTAAATGGTTCTTCTAAGATGGTTGAACACTGATAGCATGAATACTGCACGAGCTGCACATACAACATCTGTACTACTAAATGGAGAAGTATTAGTTACTGGTGGATTGAATTATACTTCTCCTTTAAACAGTGCTGAATTGTATGATACATCAACAGGAATTTGGGCAACAACTGATAGCATGAATGATGCTCGAGCTGAGCACACAACATCAATATTAACAAATAGAAATGTGTTAGTTACTGGTGGATACGGGATTGTTACTTTAAAGAATTCAAAATTATATTAATTATTTCAAATAAATGAACAATTAATCGTCTCATGTTTATAGATACCTGCAATTTTGCTTTCAAACACTAATTTGATAAAAAGAACTATTAAATTTCAATGACAATTATTAAAGTTTATGGAGATGTGTTCGGAAATGCTGCATCTCAACAGAAGATGTAGTATCTTTATATATATCTCTCCAGCAACGATAAAGAAGGAAATACAAACATACACACCCACGCCCATAATATAATCGTCTATTAATAGATAATTTGACATCTCTCTACAATTCTCCAGCATTCTCAATTTCCTGAATATATGACACCTCTCTAAATTCTGAAGTGGTAGAAAGATCATCGACATTCAATTTCTTAGAAAAAAAGTAACAACAATAATAACAATTTCATGCCTCATTTTGTACAGAATATTCCAAGTATATTTTATCGTTACATCAGCTTGACTGGAGTGTACTTTTTTGATAGCTTATTGGATAGGTTGTTAATTTTGGTTGAATGGGAGAGCCATTATATGACACATTGATATTGTTTTGAACAAATTGTATTCCAAAGCTTTCATGCAAAGAAATAGAGGTTACGATAGAAGATAATTAAATGTCATAGAGGGTGTGAGTGTTGGTATGGATGTTGGTGCTTACAACATTTTTATCCACATCCACCCGCGTTCCAGCTATTCTCGTTTGTCTTACTAGTGGAATTCGAAGGGTCTTATTGGCGAATTATAAGAAAAAGTTCTGGAAATCATTCTGTGCACATCGATGCTCTAATTACTCATCGGGCTCCCTAGGATTCGTGGAGAGAAACATGTGTTTTTCGATATGTGACAGGGGGATTTAGAATACACTTAGTCGAATTCTGCCATTCGATAGAGAATGCTGCATTGTACTTGAAACTTCAGTAAGAGTATGTCGAACGCATGTTCAGCGAATTGGCCCTGGAATTACTCGTATCAAGTATTAACGTCACCTGCATAAATATTTACCACCGTGTGTGTTTCAAATTACAATGGGAACATGATTTTAGTCACTAAAATGAATGAAATCAACATTTTATATTTAAGTATCAGTAAAAAATGTAAATTTTATCAATAAAAATGCAAACTTTATCAGTAGACGAAATATGTTTTATTCGTATAAAGATTTATGTAGTAAAAGAAAAACAAATACAGAATAGAAAAGAAGAAATCCAAAATAGAACTTCAAAAAAATGAATGGAAAATAACAAAATGAAGGTTCAATTCTTGTACTAGTAAATCAGATTAAGCCTTTGTTAGTCTATCTCTTTTTCTTTTCCCTCCAATCGGTACTGTTTTTGCTATTGGTGATGGTTTACAATATTTCAAACGAATACCCATAGCAACAATGTATTTACATATATAATTCTTTAAAAAATCTGAACAGTTGCATTTTTTATTTTCTCTTCTCATACACCAAATATTACATCATTTTTTTTTGAACTGTTTGAAAGCTGTTTACTTTTTATTTTTTATATGTACTCTAATTAGCTCATGCAATATTGAAAGTTATTGTCAAAAATATTGATAGAACATGATATTCTCTGCACGATTTATCATCTTTGATTGTAATCCATTCATTGTCTTATAATATTTTAATGTAATATTTAAAAATATTTCTAAAAATAAATAAAGTAGTATATGTAGGTTTGAATCCTTGTTTTTTTTTTAACCTTTTCTTCGTTTTTCGCCATTCGTTTTATTAATAATAATCATTTTATATTATAATTGATGTTCAAATTTCGAAAGATAATTTAATATACTTCTTGAATCTACTTTCAACTTAACTTTTCATAAATCTTTCGATAAAACGAATAATTTAATCCTACTAAATATTTGAAAAAAGATTCTCATGGTATTTTTATATTAAGGTATATACATATTATTGACTTATTTGTTTACTATCGATAAATAATGCATCTAAAAAGCTAACGAGCTTACTCATTCATGTGTAATAACAATACGCAAAATCCATTCAATCATAAATAATGTCAACGAAAGACAAAAACAAAAAAGTGACATGCGTATGTATAATCATGTTTGGTATGACGATATATATTATAATTAGATGAATATTTTATTTCAAGGCTAAACTACGATACTGGCAAAAATCGATCAATATGATTCAAAAAAAAAGATATGACATCGCCTACATTATCTTAGTTTTTTTTCTTTAGCTAAAGTCATGTTCTGTCGATCACTATGATACTATATAAATCTCATCAACTGTACAAAATAAGTTATATCTTACATCATACTATTCGAGTTTGATATTATCAAAGGATCATGAAAAAGTTAATGTTACAATTATTACTAGCAATTTTAGCTATTGTTGCTTTATATACAGTTCAAGTTGATGCCACTGACATTGATAAATCACGTGTTATAGTACTACCAACTCCAAAACCTCCAATTGTCATTGATCGATGTATTTACTGTTTTCTGCATCCAACAGCAACTGGATGCAATCCATGCAAATATGGTTCACCAATCCTAAGTGTTCCTTGTGGACAAGGAAGTAGAAGATGTGAAGCATTAGGTGGTACATGTAAATATAATCAATGCGATAGAGCTTATTGTTGTCCATATGAACATCGAGGTTGTTGTCCACCAGTATTATATACACCTATCGTCATTGGAAAACCTACTTTCTGCTTGCCAAGATGTAAAACCGATAGGGATTGCAGCATTTATCAAAAATGTTGTGGAAGTTGCCCACGATGTGTCAATGCTGTATACACATAATTACAAAGACTAATATTTATTTTGCCTACAAATAAACTTTAAAATTCTTTTTTCTTTTTGTTTCTTTTTTACATAACTCATAAGCTCGCTTCAATTATTTTTACTAATTGTTTTATTTCACAAAACAGAACTATCCTCTTTCTCTCACATTTATTATATTATGAAAATTGGAATAAAAAAGAGATTAGCAATTTAATAAACAATTTTTTTTTATGTTGCATTCGTTAGATAAAAGAATATTATTTTTTGAAAAATATGTTGTAATAAATTGTTCAGTTCGACAAACTTCTGAATAGCTAAGATTATATTACTATGTATTTTTAATTTGCTTCTTCACTGAGAAATAGTTGCTACTGGTGAAAGAAGTTTATTACAAAATATTTATATAAACTACCAAAGACAGAAATATTGCGAATTGTATTTTTGATATTGAATATATAGTTTATGAATTCTTTATTTTAATTTTCTATTTAATAATATTCTGTATTGGCTCAATAATGTAAACATGGGAACTATAACTGGACAATTTGTATACTTCAAAATAATATTCTCAACTAGAGAATGTGACAAATATTGAGAAAAATACAAACGATATATGAATACATTGTTTTTTCGTTATCAACTTCTAATTATATGACAAGTGTCTATTCTTGTGTTATTCATATCTATCTTCATAACATTCTTTTAGTCACAAACTGTATATTTTCTATCAAAACTATCATTTGTAATACTCTTGTCATCGATAAATACGTATATATCGTTAATATTTCATATAATACTTTTATGTCAATTGTGTTGTTGTTGAGAAAGGATCAAAGTTTTTCTATATTTTTATTTAATATATAAGTTCTTGTCATTTAGCTGATTCAAGTGCAAAGCTTGTTGTGACTGTTTTGTGTATTGAATTCAATAAAGCGAAAAAGTTGGTGGACATTGAGTAGTAGAAAAAAAATCACGAAAGTGCCAAGCCAATTGATTCTGAGCTTTTAGCATCATTTTTTGACTCTATGTAGGTCTCAGTGACACTAGAAAAAGTTCAGAAACGTTCATTCTTCTAGCTTATTAATGAAGAGACACATGATCAATTTACTGAACTTTTTACTCAGGACAAGGCATTTGAAAAAAACATTCGAACAAAGAGTTTTGATATGATGTGCCATCTGTAGACAGATTCATTAATCATTAAAAAGTCTCGAAAGTTTCAAAGAAAATGAATGTGTTTTTTTTTCAAATATTGAATTTCCAATGAGCTTGACAATTGGACTCTTCTGTGATCAATAGTTAATTTTTGGAAATTGAATATATCGAGAGAGACATAATCATTTTTTTTCCAACTTGTTATGTGAAAATATCTTTTGACAAGATATAGCAGCCATAGTAAGCACAACTTTAAAGACATTTTCAAAATAAAAGTCATTAAATTGTCACCCGACACCTATTTTAATGTAAGAAGCAGTATAAATGCTGATACATCTGTTACGAACAAAAAAAAGAGGCATTTTAGTCAACAAGTAACATGTATACGAAAATAATTTTACATCAAAGAGTTGTTCAAAAAACTAATTTCTTTTTTATAATTTAGTTTTTAGTTGAATTCTCTCTACAATAGACATAGGTTAAAATAAGATACTAGAGAAAAATGTTTTTATTTTGAAAACACATTTGAATGTAATTAGAGACAAATAATAAACCGACTCAATACTAAATTTGTCCTGAAACAGTATGTCTGCGCTAAAAAGTAAGCAAAAGATTTCTTCCGAAAAGTTACTTTTGTCTTCAAATTGGGTATAACTATAGAGTAACTAATATACTTACGATAGAAAACAGTTCAATTAAAAGAGATTTTTCATTTACATACGATTATTTTAATTCAATTCTTGTGTTATACCTGATTTTAACTTATGCAACTAAAGTTTGCAAATATTTTATACATGTTGTTATAGTCATTGAGAAGATTTATCTTTAGTATATAATTAAAACTAATTTCAATAACAAAAGAATTGATTTAGTACCATAGATCGCTTTATGAAAAAACATGTAATCGTGTTATTTGTACGAATATTCTAGTAATCTTAGAAAAATGTTAATAATTTATGTCTTCTTAATTTGTCAACAGCTAGAAATATGATCTGAAAATTTTAAGTTATTATACCGGTTTATGATCGAATTACTGACGCTTTCCGAAAGATCCGAAAAAAGAAAAAATTGGTTTCGTTTCCAAATTTTAATAGATCCATCATAGTTAATAATCGATGGAAGACTTTTTCTATTTGAAACGTCACCATCGAGTCAATAATGCAAGTATTTTGAAAGACATTTTTTGTTCATTATCTTATTGTTAATTAATTGGATAATAATTTAAGTTATAAAGCTATAAACTGTAACTTCTCAACCACAATATAAATTAAAATATGCAACCAAGAATAGTTTTTCAAAAGTTGCACATATCAATATTTCAAAGTTGTATTAATCTTCTGTAAGTCTCATTAAAAATAACATATTGATATAACATCAATTATTATGAAAATTAATGAGATCTAGATTCGCGTTGAAGTCCATATCAAAGGTTCGAATCCATAAACTTGATGAATGTGATAGTAATCAGTCAAATCGAATAATTTCACAGTTGGTTAAATAGAATTTCTAAAGAAATTGACATGAAATGCACAAATTAACGTTAACAACATACACGGATGCAATTATTGACATATAATCATATGATATGTGACAGCACATGTATATATTCACAGTAGATGAACGATGAAGTCATCTTCTTGATTAAGTAAAGGAGTAAATAATTATATGTTAGTTATACTGACGAAGTATAAATAGTAATATTAATGCAGTATACAATGAATATTCTTAATTTTTTTTTTTCTTGAAATAATTATTTGAATAGTCATGTAATCATTGGAAGAAAACATTGACTAAACATTATGTTAGTTTTATTTAAAATAATTTATTTTAAAACTTTTAATAGGCGTTAAATAATAAGCTGATTCAATACTAATTGATATTTTAAAACTTAATTTTTAAATAATCATATACATTTTCTTATTATCGTATTAATTATAGTGTAAACTCTCAAGTGTTTGTTGAGTATGACAATCATGAATTTTAATTCAAAAAACAAAAAAATTCCGAACAAATTATCAACTTTCTTAAGTTTTTAGTTTATAAAATTTCTCTTCACTAACTTTCATCAGTCTTATTATCTCTTGAAATATTAATAATTTGATTTTCTTTGCAGATGTTGAATATTCTCCTATTGACTTCAATGACAATGATCAATCATTTTTTTTTTGAATTATAACTTCTGATATAAACTGATACAGTTTTATCTGAAATATATTTACTTTGTAGATGTCTTTATTTTTATTTTTTTTTTCGATACAAATTTTAATCATAACTGATAAATAAAACATCATTAATATGAAAGATCTGAACAAAAAAAAAAATAATTGTTATTGTTTTGTTTCAATTATTTGATCAACATCATCTAATATAAGTGTTAATTCAGTTTGTTCAATTATTGAATAAACATCATTAATATGTGCTTTAAGAGTTTGAGCATGAAATGTTAAAATACTCATAGATGTAAGCCAAAGAATTATATTAAGATATCGTTTCACAGCATCATAATAACCATGTTTATAAAGAAGATATTTCCATGTTACTTCTACATATTTATTTTGAATTTTTAAAATATTAATAGAATTTGTTAAATCTTTCGAAATATTTGAATAATAACAACAAGTATTTTCCGAAAAAGCAAACAATGATATTGATAATTTAGCCAATACAATATCAGAATCAATATATTTTCTTGCTCAAATATGAATATCCATTGTACGTTTTCCATATTTGACAATCATAGCATTCAAGAAAGCATCAAGACCATATAAATAAGAATATTGCATAATAAATGTACCACTCATACAGCATACATTATCAGCAGCAGTACGAAGTATTATAGAACGATCATCCGATGATAATTTACGAAGATCATCATTTGAACGAAGATATGTACCTGCTGTTTCATAAATTGATACTAAAAATTCTTCTACAAATACTTTGTAAATCATATAATTGGATTCTGAACTATCGTATTTATCTACTAAACGTTGAGTAAATGGTAAAATTTGAGATTCATTATAACAATGATATAAATTTGTAAGAAGTGTCCATTGATCAATAGTTAATAATGATTGATCTGATTGTAAAAGATTTAATGTTGGAAGCTAATAAATAAATAACAAAAAATATGTTATATTGTAAGCAATCTAAAAATAGTCGCAATGACGTTTTTATATTGTATAGTAAGCTTTCAAAAACTTTTTTTTTTTCTTTTATATGCAAAAGATGTATGGAAACGTATTCTAAATAAATTAGGATATAGAAAAATAGCTCTTAGCGAAATTTGATTATTATGGTATTAGTCGAGAAATGATCGAATATCATAGCAAAATGAGAGCATGACGTATACTCTATGATAGGATAAGAATACTTGATATAGTTTAGTTTAAGAATAATTATATATAATAAAAAAATTTTGACATTCAGAACAAAAGCATTAAAATTGTCATATTTATAATATATTTAAAAGTACATAACAGGTGACATAAACTGGCACTATCTGTTGTGTTTAACTTATATAGAAATATTTATTCAATGCTGACGCAAGAAACAAAGCATATCTTTTGAATATTAAAAAAAACTCATGAACATTTCTTCGCAAAAAAAAAACGTTAGCAGAATTGAAAATTTGACTTTTTTTTTGATTTTGATACTTTTTGAACAAAATCTTCATTTATGATAAGATTAACATTGAAGAAAATGACAATAGATTTCTCATTAGAAATTTTATTTCTATCAATTTAATTTAATAATCTTACCCTATCTGATTGATGTTGTACTTGTATTTTACATAAAGTATTTATTGTTGATTTAGACTTTCTTGATGCTCGAAATTTTTCAGTTTTCATTCCAGATTTAAAACATTTAACAAGTCGACATGCTGAACACATATGACGATTATATCGATTCATTTGACATTGATTATTAAAATTACATATGAATGTTGCCTAAATGAATAAACATGAAAAATTAAATGAGAAAACAGAGTTCATCTTACTTGTCCAACATTAGCATTTCGTTTAAAGAACATTTTACATGCATAACATGAAATAACACCAAAAAATGAATATTCAGCAGGGGCACCACATATTCGACATTCATATGGAAATATTTTTGAGTTTTTAGTTTTGACCGACATGAATTGACTTACTGTATTATTTAATGTTAGTCTTCTAAATAAAATTCATCTTAGATTAAACTGAACTCATTGTAAGAATGAATAAAGATGATTAAAGAAAAAAAACAAGTCTACGTTTCTATATAAAGCAATGGTTATTTGGTTTACATCAGTGTTTTTTTCTTCTATGTAGAACAACTATATTCTTTTCATTATAAATCATCATAATGTGTCTATGTCTCTACATAATTGCGTTGTTCTTCACAAAAAAAAATAAAAAAAAGTCTGCTTTTTTTTTTCTGTTCTTATCCGTCTCGTGTTTCATCTATCTCAAGATCCGTTGCGCATAGTTATGAAACAAGTATAGAACTACCATTAGAATCATAATTTTCATCAAGGATTATAAAGTTAGACTTAATCAAATAAACACGTATGTTTATGATGAAAAAATCATGATTTTTATGGTTTCATGCTATATAATGTCATCCATGTATATTGTGTTTTTAAACAAAATGCTGAACAAAGACAGTTGAATGAATGACATCTATTTATTAAATGAAAAAAAAAAAAGGAAAAGTAATGACAGATCTACTACAAATTACATCAATAACTTAAATCAGAGTAAATGAAACTTGAACAGTTGAGACTATTTGATTATCCTATTCAAATAAATAATAATTGTTAATACAAGTGAAGTTTTCAAAATAGACTAATTATTTTCTTTTCTTTCTTACAATTTTTTTTATGAAACAAGAGCTTTCAATTACGGATAAACACAAGTAACATGCATCCCTTAGATTTGCTAAGCATTTTCTTAAAGAACGACACTTTATTGTCAACTCGAAACTACTCACCATAATCTCGTTAAATTTTAGTCCTAAAATATTTGAGGATCCCAAAAAAAAGCAGTAATATCTCATAGTTTGACTCAGTGAAAAGTATTTTTCATAAATAAAAGACAAGTTGTGATCTAGAACTCGCTTGAGGTGAATCTCAGAGTTTCAAATCATAAACATTACTTGTAAAGAAAAGTAATTTTCGAAATCTGTAATACCAAAAACGATAATATACCTTTTGAAAAACACAATCATATACAGACTTATATCCATAATTGATCTGTGCAGCTATTGTATAGTCTCGGACATGTAAAATTCGAGTGAGTTTTATATCACTATTTGACTAGAAATATCTTTGAACACATCAAATGACTAAAATACACTATTTGTAGCTACAAATAAGCGTTTCCTAGTGAAACTATCGAAAATGCTTTCGTATTAAGTGGCTTTCATTATGATAGTTCGGTCAAAAAGCAAAATAGATAGCTTATTCAGAATCAGCGTCAAAAATTGCATCGATTACTATATCTTTTAGTAATAACTGTTTTCGATGGAAAATCAGTCTGTGATTTCCCTCAGATTTATTTTGCTAAAATTTTGTCTCTAGTTTCCGAGGTCGATTTTTCACAAGAAAATAAAAGATTTCTAAAACATGTAATAATGAATGCAGTTTTTGACATTGATTCAGAATAAGCTATCTATTTTGCTTTTTGACAGCAACAAATTTTCCCGATAATAAAATAGAATCTAAAAATAAACTAAGTAGACAGTTTTGTAGCTCGCAGTCTGATGATTCTAATAAACTAAGATACATGCTTCAAACCTAATATTAAAGACTAGAAATGAGTTCAATGGTAGAAAGAATAATCACTGTGAAAATTAAAAAATTGCAAATTAAAAATAGTGTTTGAGATCTCTTTCAATATTTCTAGTGAAGCTTGACATGCTCTATCGAATATTATTCTGAGATTTTCAATATGTAGTCATCCTATTTTCAAAAAATTTATAAAATATTAATATTAATGTGAGACTTTAAGGTATTCGATTGAAAATTAAATAAGTCGAGAACGTAAGCAGCTAGTGATTTGCAGTTTCCAGCAATCAAAAAAGTGGACATCATTGGTTTTGAAATGATTTTGTCCTATAAACTATTGGAGAAAAAGACGTTTTCATATCTTACTTTTGTTACCTAACTTACCAATTCCTAAGATAAGAATTTTACTTCAAAACACAATGGGTTATTGATCTTCGCACATGAAATTACCATTTAATCACGAACTGAAGCCTATAGTCTCTTATGTCACCGTTAATCTCGTTCAAACTATTTAAAACGAGTACCTAATGCTCATTATTAAAGTATTATCTCTCAAACTCTTGTAAAGATATAACATCTTAATAATATCTAAGACAAATATATATCACATCCGTTTCCGTGATTGTTTCAGCTTTAAAAGATTCAGAAAAGTGTTCAGCTATTGACACGTGATATCCATCATAGACGACATCATTAAGTTAGTAACGATAATTTAAAAAGAAAAAGTTGTCCATGAGATAGCACCTTTCGAATACTGAAAATCTGAACTTGATAGCTGCAAAATTTTCTGAATCATTTGAGAAAATTGATATTCTTCAAAAATTAAAACTATACGAATTTTCAATTAATGAAACTTCAATTATTCATAGGAATATAGGTAATAGGCAATAGAAAATGTTACAATATCCTTAAAAAAATATAAATGAAGGTCATATTTAATGCATGAGAAGTTAGGGAATTTAGAAAGTAGTGGTGTTCCATTGTCGACAACTCCGTTGAAGAGTTCTCTCCCACCTACTCTACACCTTTCAAGCAATATGCGATAACTCATGCATTTCGGACCTTCACTTTTTACCTATTCGAATGATTCATTTATTATGGAGTGAAATAGAAGTTGTGCAATAACCTTTTTTTTTTGTATTGATGAAATTTTTTGCTGATTGATGATTCAACATGACCATAAGTTTTAGCAATTGATGTAGTGTGTCACAATGTACACGCATGAGGGATGTATATTCAATCTTTTAGCTCAGAGTATGAGATAGTAGACCAAGTTCAGTTGCATCTCTATATAAGAAAAATTTTATTTTTCTATTCATTCTTGATAAGAAAGTTCATCATCTACAATCTAATATTATCTTTTACATAAAGATTTATGAAAATTTTCATTCAAAAATTCATAAATAATTAATATTTTTCAATATTTAGACATTGATTGATGAAAAAGAAAAAAAAAAAAAATTTTTTTTGTCATTAATAATTTTAATCTAACAAAATCAAAATTTTAATTTCATGATTTCGTCATATAATGTTGTTTATATTGATATGTTTTTAATATATCAATCGCTTCTTTGATCTAAAAGACAAGCAAAAAACATATTTTAACTATTGATTTTTAATTATTTATTAATTAATTCTAACCTTTTCTTTGAGTATATTTTGTGATTTAATCAATGTTAAAATATATTTTATATCTAATTCAATAAACATTCCAGTAATTTTCGCTGCTAAAGTTGGTTCAATCTGTTGAACAAGTACAAAGAGTCGTTCACCTAATAATTGTTTTTGTTCAGTCAATGTTACATCACGTAACATAGCTGGTGTTAATATTTCAGTACCAGGTACATTTATATTTCCTTCATCCTATGACAAAAAAAAAAAAAATTTGAATATTTAAAAAAAAAACAAGAAAAGCAAATCTTTATCGATTACCTTATTATCATCTATTTGTTTAATTTGATAATTATTTTTATGAAAAATTTTAATTAAATATATAGGTAATTGATTTTTATCCTGTTCTAAATAAATAGATGTTGATAAATTTGATAAATCTTGTCGAAGTTTATTTAATTGTTGTGTATATTTTAAAAGATTAATATTTTCATTTAAATCTGTATTAATTTCATTATTAATTTGATTTAATAAATTAGAAAAATCTTGATGTTTTTCATTGAAAATTTTTTGAAGATCATTTCGAGCTTGTTGAGCTGCTTTTTGAATTTTTGCAATCGAATGATTTTCCCATTGATTAATATAAATAAAAAGAACATGATCATCATATTGAAGTAAAGAAGAATTATTTTCTATTTTAATTTGTACATTATCGTTTGTTGCCATATGGATAAATATTTTTCAAAATGATTATTGTCTTATTCGAATGTCGATGGTAATAATAATAATAATGTTAGTTTATTCACTACAAATAAAAACCTTATTTTTTGTTCTCATGTTGTTGTTTTTTTTTTTTCATCGTTCTGATTGTAAATACAAAAGAACAGAACAGAAGAAAAACACACACATACCTGTATGACCTTGATATCCACAGAAAACATGATTTTTATTTTGTTTTATATTCAAAAAAAAAAAAGAAATTTTGATGCAAAAATAAAAGAAATCTATTGAATTATTGTTTTTAATTTTATTATTATGTGTTTAATTGTAAATATTTGTCTATCTAAATATTATATTGTATTAACAGCTGTGTAAATTTTTGATTATAAGAAACGAAAACATAAGCGATTCAATGACACAAAGTACCCATCTATTGGAATAACCTGTTTTTCATTGAATCATACAGATAACAAGTTGAAATTAAATTTTTTTTTCAGATGTTTTATTGATAATCATAAGTTTATTTTTTTGACGATGTAAAACATCCAAGGGGGAAACACCTATTACAATATTTATCAAACTATTTGTATAAATTATATTTTTAGAAAAAAAAAACAACATAAAGTTTAAATAATTTATTATTTCTATCAGAAAATTAGCGCAAGATTATTAATTCGCATTCATTTAAATAATTGTTTTTGTTTTTATAACAATGATGATAATGATGGACGAGCAGTTCTCTTTTGGGAATTGAATTATACATATATATATATTTATTTATTTGATTAATATCTCTTTTTTTTATTAGCGCATGTATTCGATATTTGGAAATTTTCTTTCTTTCAATTATTTTTATAAAAAGAAAAATAATATTATTCATTCATAGATCATTCTAATAAAATATTGTACATTTTTCAATAGAAATATTACATTAATTTCTAAATTATAAGACATTTCAGAAGAAATATTGACATATGTAAAATAAGATTATTCGATTGATTTAATTAAAAATTGAAGTTTAATACAAAAAAAAACAAACAAGGTAAAATTTCATACAGTAAAAATTTCATTCAATGATGTATTGTTTTAAATTGAATAAATACTTGAAACTACATATACTAAAATACTGTCAGAGAAAAAACATAATATATATATATATATTCTACAATGTTTAAGAGAGATATCGTTGATGTTCTCAAATGTTTTATTTTATATTTAAAATCGAATAAATTTTTGTATTCTATGATTATATGTATCTGCTACATATAAATTAAGTTGATTATCAAGTGTTATAGAATATGGATTATTGAGTAAAATTGAAGTATTACCATTTGAATTTGTTACACCAGCAATTGTTGTACCATTTGATTGATCATAGGAAAAAAATTGTACACGATTATTACCCATATCAACAACATAAATATTACCCATTGGATCTATTGTAACATCCGTTGGTTGATTGAGTTTATTTGATGTGCTACCACTTAAACCATTTATGTTACCAGCTACAAGTGTCCAGTTTTGACTACCTATTATCCAACGAACAATATTATTAGCACCATAATTAGCAATTAATAGACTATTTGTTGATGAATCAAAACAAAGACCTATGGGATTTGACAATTGTGTGATACTTAATCCAGCTCCATTACCACCTGCAATAACAGTCCCTGATGAAGCACCCGAAAGGTAGCGCATTATACGATGGTTGCCTGTATCTGATATATAAAGTGTGCCTGAACTTGAATCACGTGCTATTCCATATACTATACTTAAAGTATCATTGGTACTTCCAGAAATACCTAAAAAATATACAGACTTATCATTCTATTATTATTGAAATTGATTTATTTACCAGTACCAGCAGCTAATGTACCGGAAGATGATCCACTAGTCCATAATTGAACACGATAATTAAATGTATCTGTTACGTAGATATTACCATCTGAATCAACAGCAACATCACTAGGAAAATTTAAATAGCTGGATGTTGAATTCGAAGATCCATCTACTTGACCAGCAACTGTAACACCGAACGATTCATCTCTTAAATATTTCTGTACTCGATTGTTAAATCCATCAGCTATATAGAGTGTAGTAGAAGAATCTAATGTTAAACCAAAAGGTACATTAAGTAGATTTGAAGCATTTCCTTTTTGACCTGTACTACCAGCTATAGTTATAGCTGATGGATTCCAACGAAGGATAGACATTGTATCTATAAAAGTAAACATATTTACGAAGAAATTTTTTTCTATTTACCTACTTATTGTTGCTTTCGATCTCGTCAATAGAATACCAAGAGTAATAGCAATAGCTATAATTAAAACAAGGCCTGTAACTACTGATATGATTATACGTTGTTGTGAAAATCTATAGAAAACAATCAATCATAAACGCAATGATTCAAATAAGATTAAAATAAAAAAACAATTTAAATGATATTGACTTATTCTTTTTGTTTCTATCATCTTTTTGACGATGTCCATTTTGAAAAGTTATCCAATCTGGCCATTCATTGCTCTGCTAATTTCATTTTAGAAGTTATTCATTAGCTAAAAAGAAAAATATTTCTACGACAAATATGATACCTCACTATGATTAGTAATTTTTGATTCTATTGTTTCTTTCGTTGAATTATCTTTATAATGCTTTGAATTTTGATTAGACTAAAATGAAAAAAAAAAAAGAACAGAACGTTTACATTTTTTCTTGCCTTTGCAAGCAATAAAATACATAGAATGACAAATTACAACATTGTAAAATTGATATAACAGATGTTGGATGTTTGGCATTTTTCATTCGAGAAATGAATGATTTATCAGATTCATTTTGATGATAAAGTGTACTGAGAGTATTCGAGTCCTTTTTTTTGTAAAAAAAATAAAAATATAATCAATATTAGAAAATATTAAAAACTAATACTGAGTTTCGATCTTTTTGAAATATAATAGGTTTCGTGGTATTATTCGTTGCTTGATTTTGATTAGAATCTAATATATTTGATTGAATTTCTTTTCTTATTAACTTGTGTGATCGATGACGACAATATCGATTACGTTTTACAAGATGGACATGAGTTGATTGTGAATTTAATTGATCGTTGTATATATTTTTAGATCGAATACTAGATACTGATGGTTGATCACGTACGTGTACATGAATCGACATCGATATTATATTTTATTGTTGAATGTAGAATTATTGTTTGTCTTTGTTATTCATTGATGAAAGAAAAATATATTTATTATTGTTTTTTTTCGATACTATCGTAAGAAAATATGTGCTTTAGAAGGGTTTCTTATTTCAATTTCTATTGTAGATGATTTGATTTAGTTGAATTATTTTGTTTTCTCTATTTATTCAGAGGATTGCGAAAATATAATTTATTACAATGAAAAGAAGAAAAGCGTAGTTACAAGACATTAGTATTTCTTATAACATATCGACTATAGTAAATTCTGTTGTCCAAAATAACAAAGGATTATTGAGTAAAGTAGAATTATTATTACCAATACTAGTGTAATATCGTAATTATTACTTCTTGTATTTCAACCACTGTAAAGTATTGAATAGAATGATTTTTTCAATTTGTATTCTATTGATATCATCAGTTATAAACATCCAACTGAACGCAAAGAGTTTTTGAATGAATAATATTAGAAACATAATAATTGACAATAATAGATAATGTATAAATGATCAACTAGCTCATAATACAAATTCTATAATTAATTATGTTTGCTACTTAGATATTATCATTCTTATCAAACGTCATATCATCGGTGTAATGCAATTAATTTGAAGTTTTTTTTTATGTAATTTTATTGGCTAACCTACAATTGATTCACCAAAGAAAGTATTCTTTCGAAATTTTTTCAGGTGATGATTATACTATAATGCAATGATCAGTTGTTTCAATGAAGTTTGAATCTAGAAAATTATTGACTCATATTCATCAAAGCAGTTTCAGTGTATAAAACCTTTCATAATTTTCCGAGATTTAAACTTAATTAATCAAATCATTATTTTATTAGTCGAAATGCCGTTGATTTGTTTTAATTCATCAGTAAGAATTCGACTTCGACATTAGATGTATTTAATCTTAGATCTCAGACTCGTCCTTTGTTTTGAGATTTTACAGTATATTAACTTTCTTAAATAAGTATAAAAATAAATCAGCTAAAAAATTAAAATCTTCAGTGGTTATATCTTTGTATGATTTTCACACCAAGATGCCTTAACACTACGTAATTTAAGACATCCTTTATAGTACTCAGTAAAGAAATTGTTGAAAAATAAGATAAATTCTGATGATAATCGATTAAAATAAATACATTGTTTGTTTGCATTCTGTCGGTACTAATGAGCATTAAATTCATATCAAGATCAAAGAATATTTCTGGAAATAGTATACGATTTTTCAAGTTCAAAAAGAAGATCATCTCCTGGAATTAAGTGATTTATTGTTGTTGTTTCCAGAGATAAATTCAAATGTTCAATTGAATTCTATTGCTTAAGACTGAAAGTATGTACTAAATGAATCATAACAATAATAATATCTTTATACAAATCGTGTTAATCATTTGATTCTTTAATTGCTGAATAAATAAAATGTTCAGCAAAATTTCAAATAAATCAAATAAGTTTGTAAACATTCATTTCATTTTCCCTACTGATACAATGATGAGAATTTCTATATTTTGAAGCACTTTTACATGAATTATCTAGATACAAGAAACAACAAAGATTTGTTTGTCGATATGTTGATGAAAACATTCACCAGATGGTCTTAGTACATTTTCAATCTTTGATCATGTAAAAACAAGGACGATGATCTCGAAGAACCATTTCATTTGCTGTACCATAAACATAAATAAAAGAAGTTCTTTTTCAAGAAGTGAAAAATTAATTTTATGCGTTTCATTTCGAATTGCATAAAAATTGACTGATTGAGTGTTCACACAAATAAGAATAATTTAGATCAATGTCATTGACTTCATTGTATTTATTCGAAAATCTTTGAGTTAATCTTTTTTACTTTAATACATCAACATTCAGATGCGTTCGCACCGTATACAATGCCATCTAATCAAAATATCTGCATATGATTGGGTTCTTTGAGTTTGAACATTTTCACTTGCGTGATTTCGAACATCATTGATTTTCAATCTATCGAAATATTTTTCAATAGGAACAAAATTGTGTATATGTCTAATCGACCGAAATACTCAAATAAAGTTGAGTTCGAAAAAACAAAGCCATCGATGATAGTTTCAGCAACTTAAAAAAATTTCTTTTTGTCATTAACATGGACAACATGTTAGTTGGCAATAGAAACTTTAGAAAACGACTAGATCGATGAATGTAGTCTAATCATCAATACGATGTATAAGAGCTTCTTTTTCGATTACTATATTCGTTTGTAAAAGCCTAGACACGATAGAAAAACTATTGAAGTCATCATTAAATTATAACACAAATGCACTGCAATTTATGGAAAATTGAAAGCGACAACTTACTTATTTTTGTAACAATCATCAATTAAAAGTTTTGTGTCGTGTGCAGTTTAAATATTGATTACCATCCTTTAATTGTTGATCTTCAACAATAGTCCAACTGCACGTTAGAAAAGAAGAACTTGTCAACAACAAAGTTCGCTTTTTCTGTGACATAAGTACAGCTTCATCATACGACGAATGAGCATTCGGTCTAGTTCAATGGCTAACTACATTATTCTGTTAAAGACCATTTTTTCAAAAACATTTTTGATCATAAACAAATCTTGTTTTCTACATCAGATTCTAGTCTTTTTGCCTGACATTTTACAAATTCTATTTGACATGCTTTCCAAAATATCTTATTTCGACTGGACTGAAATGGATATTAGTTTTGCAATTGGAAAGTGTCATATGAAATGAAGTACTCGCCTTAATTATTCGTGTAAGTTCTAGCTAATGCCTACATTCAAACCGTGAAAATCCTTGATTGTATGTAATGAAATAATAATTGAGACTCATGAATGATTTTGAAAATCAAATAATGTTTGTATCCAAAGAAAATGAAATTGATATACAAACTAGCATTCTGAACAATCTTCATCTAGTACAGAACTAATTTCAAGTTACTAACATACCAGTGAAGTGCTGATTAAGGGTGTAAGTGTCACGTGCGTTTGGGTGAGTATAAGTGAATAGAAGGACTATACTCACAACCACCTTGACACCCAAACCAACAGCCTTCGATTTATCTCATGAAAGAATCAAAATTCGTTAGAGAGATAGAGACTTCCGATTTGATTCAATAAAAAAAAAGCTTTATATTAATATAAACATATACTTCAGTCAATGCTCTGTCGTCGTAATCACTGTCAATAAGAAAATAATTAATGAAAAAAATAAAAAGGTGAAGAAGAACGCAATGATTTCATGAAAAAACATTTGTTAGCTAGAAAGAAAATTTGAATAAATGAGGGACATCGACTTGAAGAGTTTAAATACTCATTCACATTCTACTATCATGATGATGTAATGCGTTTTGAATATATGTTGGTGATCTATCTTAGCTTCGATCAATCTTGTTTTCAAACACTTCGATAAGTTTTTCTTGATATTCTTGTTATTGGCTTGACTGTCGTTGGTACTTGAATTGACCTTTTCTTTCGCGACTGGATTCGTCTCGTTCTTCTCGTATGATGTTCTTCAAGAGAAGTTGCCAGTAATCTTGAGCAATGCTACTTTCACGTAACATGTTCTCACGCTCTTGAAATTTAGTCAGATCTAAAAAGAAGAATGAGACAAGAAACTTTGAGAAGTCATTGAAGCCATGCTCTTACTGGCAAGATCCTGTTTAAATGACATAGCGTTAGATAACTTTCGTCTTTTTTCGTCAATCAATTGTTCAAATTTATCATGTGATGTTTTCAATTGGGCATAGTTCAAACGTGCTTTTGTTTCCGTCTGCTTGTTGTGTATGTCATTCATCTCCATATGTAAACGAACATAGTGATTCTTCTCGACCGATTCTTCTTTTTGTTTATCGTGATTCACAGTAAAAGTCACTGTGATGCCATGACGGGAACATTGAGTAAAATACATTTCTTGTCCCTCTATATTCTGGTCGACATCATGTTCAACGTAATAGCTAGCACGTTCAATGGTGCATGGATCACCAGAATTTTTGGTAAATTTGAATCCAACGTAATCATTTTTCTGCACTTTGAACGGCATAACTTCGAATTTCTGAATTCCAACGGATAATTTGAGATTAGTGATGAATGAGTTCATCTGTTCTTGCACAAAAAAATGCTCAAGATCACTCGATATTGATTGAATAACGTATACTTTGATTTTTGCATGAGATCGAGTAGGAGCTGTGCAAAAATTTATTAAGATCTTATCGATAGTGCCAGCACGAACAACACGATCATTAACATTGAACACAATCAAATCCGTCACATTTGCATCTAATTCACTATTGCCATGGAGAAAACTGTAGACATTGTCTTAATAGGAAAAAGATCTGGATTAACTCATAATAATCTTGAATATGTTTGATACTATTCATATGCTCTCCACTATTTGGAGGATGAATGGGTGTGAGATTGGCTGTAGGCCGGGGTAAAGTGATTAGAATTACATTTCACACTCAAATCTCGACTTCAGTAGGCATAACTAATATGCTTTATTAATTGTACCGCAATCGATGATATTCATTTCTAATATGCTCACCCTTTTTTTTGCCTAGAGATTGAAGGAATATAATAACCAGTTGAATGACATAGTATAGTAAATTCAATGGGGATGGTATTGGAGATTTAATAGCATACTCTTTAACGAGTAGAAACCGATGATAAGCCCAATCCTTCTGTGCATTATTGTTCGTGTTTGCAAGTGTAACACTAGAAGCAGAACCATGTATGTAGTACTGTTTTGCAATATGAGTTTACGCATTTAGACTCAATTGTGTCGTAAAGGGTGCCATGGTGAATTTTCTTTTAAGACCATTTGAAATAAGCGAAATTTCTAGTACTCCCCGCACTAACTTCCTCTTTGTTCCATACTACTTTTCTAGTCAGACAAATAAGAATATAAGAAAACGAGTTTAATTGGCATAAAAAGACGTTTCTTTTGGGTGTTTATTCGTCTGTCTGTTAAAATGGTCATAGAAATTGCTAAAAAGAGATAAAGCGCACATGTGTGTAGGTACATACACTGCATTTTCATTGTTTGTACACTTTACACGGGTTTTCAGAACTCTTTTTCTGCCTGAATGATTATGTCCGCAATTTTAGTCATTAAGAGACTCCATAAACTGCACGTTAGTGATATACTGAGTAGAAATATTGACTTCAAAACATAATCGTGATTACATATTTCACCAATAGACTGCTCGAAAGAAGTATGGATATAGGAAAGGCATCATGCATCAAGTAGAAAGGAATTTTAGATGTCAGCAATCATTCTTGATCAAATTTATATTATTCTATTTGCCATTACTTATGAGTCAATCGAACATATCTCTCTTCTGTGCTATGAGTCTCATAATTTCAGATAAATATATGGTTTTTTAGAAAGCCATCAGTTCATCTAAAATACTTCGTCAGAAATCTCTTTCATATTCTGAACTGTCTTAAATCGTAGATATTTATGAGACCTATTTCAGAATCTATCGCTCAATGACAAAATGAGATTGCTTCGAAGTTCAAAACTCTTCATCTATTTCGATTTTGTTTTAGTTAGAATGTTGCTTTTGAATATCTATCTAATCTATTGTAGCAACTAAAATGCTTTTCGTTCGGTAAAAATTTCTCTTGCCGCAGAGGAGTGCATTGACTGAATTCAATAAAAATTTTTGTTGATGATCGAATGCTCACTTAAAAAGAGCGACAAGTACGTTGAGTAGAAGCACATTGGCGATGCAAACAAAGATAATTGTCAATATAAATGCCGTATTTCCATAGGAATCATTAGCAACTATTTAGAAATATTTTGAATATCATGAGCGCAAATATGGCATGACTTACTTGTAACGCTCGGTGCAGAAACTTGTCTGTAGTCGATAAGATCAATTTGTCCGTAAACCTTCCACATACCCCAATCGATGATATTTCGTAAGAGACTCCATGTCCCGAGGCCGGTTCCGTTCTGACTTATGTTGTATGTGTGAGATGGTGAACCATCCTCGTTTGGAATCCAGGTAACTTGATATGGAGTAGTGATCAGTGCGTAGGAACTGATTGAATAGGCGACAAGAAAAATAAAAATGAAATAAATGAAAAAGACTAAATCTTTCATCTGAAAAGGAATCGAAACGAAATTAATTAGAAAAGCAGAATGCCTTTACTTAACTGTGTTAAATATCATTAATAATTTAGGTCCAAGTCGTTCGTAGGCAGCGAATAGGTGAAGAATACGCAAGTACCACAGAAAGAGATCGATGCACATGAAAATTCTTTGAAACACACGAAAAGCAATAGAATGAGAAATAACCATCAAACGGACTAACTTTGAGACAATAAAGGCTTGTTCGATGACAATAAATCTCGTCATGAAACCGACAAGGTAGATAAAAATAGCCAGAGCATCGAGTATATTCCATACATCTTCGAGCAAGTACGATGACACAATATTGCGCATGGATCTATTACTTTTCATTTTTTGACGACGATGAATTTCAAACTAAACATAGACGGTTAGAATGATCGAATCGCCTCAAAAGTGACAGATAATGTCACGATAAAGTGGTTTTCATGTACCTCAACGAGTTCTTCAATAATCAAACCCCAAAGACACAGATGAAGAATGATTTCAGTGATTGGAATGCCAATGGAATATCTACTACGTTCGCCCCCATTGTTATTGTATGGAAAATAGTCGGCTAGCATAACAAAACTGAAGAGACCAAGAACGAGTACGTAAAATACCTGCAATGACATCGAATGTATGATTGTCTTTAAGTTCAGTGTCATCACCTACAATATTGTAATAGTATCGAACAATGGCTCTTCCACTAAAGAAATCCTTGAGCCTATCGTAGATGATTCGTTTTAGCCAGCTGCGTGGTATCCTATTTCGAAAGTTTATAGACAATGTAAAAAATTTTCTCAAAGAAAGATCTTATTTTAATCGAAAAAATCTGATTATAATTGATTAAAATCATTTGTTTTGACTTATGTTAATCTGAGAAATGGCTTAGGAAGCAAACCGATTATAATCAAATTTTTGCAAAAAATTTTTACATGGATAAGTATCGACAGGATAAGTACGTTTTATGCTATACTCACGCTTCTTTTTTGGCCGGTGATTGAATGATCTGATAAATACCAGAGAATGTTACAAGAAAAGGACAAATACACAGGAAAAACATCTGTAATATTTCAAAATCTCATTAATTAAATCAAGTTCAGCTATACATCACCGACCAAAATATTAACAATATTTTTTCTATGGGCAGGCTGTTCAATATGACCATACCAGAGTCGATCGGCATATGCTTGTACGCATTCACTAGCTAAAAATGTACGGCTATTAGTTTCTTCAGCCAGTTCTATCGGTGTATAGCCGAAATATAATTTTGATTGTGTTGTCAATAAGTCGAGGGCAAGATATTCATCTTGAGAAAAACATTTATCAATAATCTGTGCTGCATGTACATCAAAGTCTCTGATAAAGAAAACACGATATATCATGAAAGAAGTTTTTAAAAACGATTTGTCATACTTCTTTTTTGCAATGTATTCTCGTTTTTGTTCTTTGGATTCAGTCATTTCAGCTGCTTTTTTATAAATTTTACTCGCCACAAGAGCAGCAACAATAGTGTTCTATAATACAACCATAAAATGATTTTGCTTATGATTAAATAACTAAGAAAAGACATACTGGACTGTGTGAACATAAACAAATAGACATATTGAAGCTAGCAGCAAATATTGACCACAAGAAAATATCACGAATGAATTCTAAACAAACAATTAATTGACTTTCACTTCTGTTTATTTACGAATAGAACTTTCAAATCTCCATGAATTTAATGATACTCTTTTCAATCATCAGAAAGTTTAACTGATCTATATAATGATACTGTTTTGTGAAAGTCTAATGACGTTAATCAAATCAACATGGTTGATGTGTAATAATCGTACCTGAAGTAGGAATCAACTGGAAACTAATCGCTATCCTCCTATTACTCTTCTTGAATTCAATCGAAGCATTGGTTGAATAAACTTCATTGACTGCATCAAGATCAAGTGAGTAACTCGAACTCGGACTATTCAAGTAGCATGGAGAACACGAATTCTTGTGGAAGCCAACAGCTAAATATTGGCCTTGTTCTAAGTAGACATTCGAATTGTGTAAATAAAATATTGATTTGTTCTGATTATGTTTATGATCGCTTTCGGATAACTTTTGCATGTAAACTACTTGAAAAGAATTGAGATCTGATGTTGGCGAAAGGATGCAGAGGACTATATTATGTGACCTGTTCATAGTCCCAGATGTATTGTGAGAGTCTGAAAAAACTATCGAGACTTGTTTTATGTAGCCATTTTGTCTGACAACATCATCTCCATTGAAAACAGCAAATCCATTCAGATTTGTTGTTAGTTTAAGGGGATTCTCGATAGTGCCATACACATCGATACTGCCTAGAATTGAAAGTAAAAATGAGAAACGATATGTATCATTATGTTCTTTGTCATACTTAGACGTAATGCTCCATTTCCCTAAAACAGAAAAACTATGATTTTCTTGAACTTGACTGATGAGCTTATTTTACTTCGAGAGATTCGATTGTTTTCAGAGCTTCCGTGTCCAGATATTGTTTATAATACATTTGTTGTTTGTTATTATCGGTATGTACGATTTCTTCATCCAATAATGGTAGGCCAGATTTCTATTAATATTTAAAATTATACATCATTTCTGCAGAATCCCACTCACTTTCTTGTATAAGTCATTAAGATTGATCAATCGTCGAAGACGATCAAATGATGCACCTTGTTCAATGAGAAGTTCAACAAACTGTACCGAGTCGTATCGTATTGCATGAACTAAAGCACTATCTAATTGAGCATCCTTTTGAAAGTAGGTGAAAATTAGAAACGAAGATCCTCTTTTCTTTTAATACTTACTGTCCATGAAATTTTGTTGTTTTTGTTGAATATTTCTGACATAGCCAAATCGAACTTTTTCCAAGCCATCGCCAATTTGAGCTTTTGTACGTAAACATTAGATTCTTCCTGCTTGAACATGATTGCCACTAAATAAAAAAAATGATTCAAATATAGATTTGTATTAAACAAGTACCTCGAAATAAAGCTTCGAGTATGGCATCACCCAATTTGAATTCAGAATCGTCAGACGAGAGTGAAAAAATATTGATTAAGAAGAAGCCTTTCTCCGACATAATCATGTCACGAAAACGCTTTCCATTACTTTCCGTAATTATTTCTTTGTATTCTCTTCCTATTAGTTGTTCTCTAAAATACAAATAAAGTATTTTAAGAATTAGACTTCAATATTACAGAGCAGAATTATTGTTTGTTGGTTGAGCAAATGTTGTTTGATTATGATATAATATATTGTATGCTTTCGAAATAAAATCGGCTGCTCTTCCCGTGCCCTGTGAAAGGTAGAATGCATGTTATTCTCATCACTATTGTCTTTACATTGAGCACGTACTTCAACGACAATGACTGGTGTTTCATGAGTTACTGCTTCAATCACTGTTAGAAGGGATGAACGACCACCTCCAATCAATATTTGAATAATCGGTGTGTTGTAGTCTATCGAACAAAATATAATGACTAAGCAAAATACCATATCGTGTCAATTACTTTGTCTATAATGTGAACTATAACGGGCTTCTCGTTCAATTTCAGTCCGTAACTGAATAGTGAGGTCGGCTCGAACACTATATCGTTTTTTCCTCCATTTCTCATCGCCTGCACCACATCTATCGTCTAGAAGAATAAAGTGAGTATGATTTGGATCGAGAGGATATGTTTGAGGGTTATCTTGTGGTACACCATTGCGATAGAGTTTCTCACGATTAATTTCTCTGTCATCCATCGATACAGATGTCGAATTCTAGACAATAATTCCACTTTTCAAGTAACTTATAAAAAGCATAGACATACTCTTTTACTATTCGATTCACTTGATCGTTTTTGAATGAGTTGTTTATAATCTAGTTTTTGAAGAATGAAAAAATTCATGGGCAAATGACATGTTTATTTTCTCTTACTCGTTGTATAATACCAACTTGCAATTCCAATAACTGGAACTCGAGTATGAGTCTTATCCATACTACTACTCTTGTATGTCCATTTTTCGAATGCATCACCCACATCTTTCATAACTCCAGCATACGTTCCTCCAGTAAACACCCAGGCATCTGTTTCAAAATAGAGAAGAATACAATATAAATCTTGGTTCTTACCAGTAGTGACTGCAGCCGAGACAAGACCCTTTTGAAGGATAGCACGGCTTCTTTCTGCCAAATTGAAGATCTTGGCGCCGCCTACAACTGAGATTATCAGTTCAGGCGGAGACAGTTCCCATTTATCACGCAACAATTCAAGAAGATGCTTAGCTGGTTCTCGTGGTACGGATCCAATAGGAATAATAGAATGGCTAGCTGGCAGTTTTTCAATCGCATGGAAACTTGATTGATTATCTTCTTCTTCATTAGCCTCAGTACGTATCGTCTGTTGGCGAATCTCTTTAGATGTTGCTAGCTGAACTGCATTGGGTGGATTGAATGGATAACGTATGTACTACATTGAATTAGATCAATATCCCCAACGAAAAGACTTTAAACTTACCCATGATTTACGTTCATTCTGCGTGAAATGTATTTGACCATAATCTTCGATTCTACAACATGCAGATCAATAATAGAATAAAATAAAGTCTCTCTCGAACAAAAAAAGCTCCTTTTCTAATAGCTCGTTCTCCTCTATATTTTATTATTATATCTTCATGTACATATCCATGAATAGAGCCCAAATTAAGCCACATATATATATATATGAGGCTCGGTTAACTGGCTTATTGTGTTAATTTTCCTCGACGCATACAAAGATGTCTCATTTCCGTGATACTCTCGTCTGGACAACAGAGTTTCTTTTTCAATTCGTTTTTTCGTCACCAAATGCTCTGTGTTTAAAAAAACCCAAATGCGTCACAAGATTCAGAGTGAAAACGCTCTATAATCTACAAAGGGACAGCTTATTTGATAATTGCACTTTTCATCTTGATAATGGACACAATTCTGAGCCACTAATTTTTTGACATTTAGAAAAAAATAATTTTTGGTACACATTGAGTTCTTTTTCTTATGACAGCAATTTATGCATCATTCTTTTTAACTTCATTCCATTGTTCGGTCATCGATTATAAGTTTCAATTGCAACTCTTTAACCAAAATAATAACAGAAAGAATTCATCGTGTACCTAAACATGATCTTGTTCACAGCGTCAAAAAGTAGTCGCACAGACTTTCCTTCATTTTGAGAAAAAAGTGCAACTATAGAATGAGCTGTTCTGGATAAACTGTAGAGCTTCTAATGCTGCATCTTGTGGTGTATTTTTTTTTCTTTTAACACAGCGTCTTAGGTGATGAAAAAATGAATTGGAAAAAGAAACCTTTTTTGTTCGAGGACGAGTTCAAATACTCACTTATTGTTCGGATATTGACGATTATTTTCTATCACCCACTAGAATACAGAAAAAATATTTCCACTTCGGTGAGTAAGTTTTGACTACTACTTGCCTGATGGACGGCTTTCTTGATTCGGATGTTCGATTGTAATTGCGAAGAATTCATTTCAGTATTTCTCATATTGTGTATTCGATTATTCTTCATTATATTTGTACTGCAAATCCTATAATAAAAGTCACCTTCAACAGTTTATCAATTGCAATGAAGAGTATAGAGCGAAAGTATTCATTCTTTTTTTTTGCTACATCTGACAAGATATAAACTGATACGATTGTTACAGTAACATTGCTTATGATGACAAAGGAGAAGACAGTGAGATAAGAATGAAGCAGACAAACAATGTTTATTCTGCATAAAATAGCGAGTTTTTTTAATCTTTCTGGACACCATCTGTGCATGTTACACATTTTTTTTTAGTTGTTTATTGCCAATATTTGATAAATTATTTTCTGATGAACTCTTTCAGTCGACTTCTATTGTACGAAGACAATAATACTTTGATCGATTCACGTTTGGGTAGTGAAGAGAGCAACCAACAAAGATATCATCAGAGAAAATAGTATGAAAAGCAGTTCAGTCTTCTTTGAAGTGCGTATCGATATAATTTACATTAAAACAAGACCAACAAAACCACGTCGAAACCATTTATCCATACCCACCTAGACAGTTTTGTTCGCGTTGTCAGACAAATGAATAGGGCGTCACACTTCAGAGCAGGAGGACCATATCAGCGTAACTCGGTTAATAGTTAAATTCGTTTCGATTTGGAGAACATGGCAAATTAATGTATCTTGAACTATTAAATGAATGACACGCCATTGTTTTTCGATAGCTCATTCAACACGATCATTGCATTACAAAGAATATTCCGTCAATTATCCGGAAAATAATATTCAGGAAAATATTGACTGCAAATCATCAGGTACACGAGGAGGAATGTAAATTTGATCGAATAGATATGAGTATAGGCGTGGCTGAGGGTATGGACCTTCTCTTCAACGATAACCACACCCAAGAAAACGACGCATTTTATTCTTTCGATTTTCCCATTTCAATTGAAGCATTCTAAACGTGGAATAATTCTGGTAAATAAAAAACGAATGCATAACGAATTGAAGAAAGTGAGTGTAAGATGTGGATAGTAACGAAAAGAAGAAAAACACCGACGCCCACACCTATACTCGTTTGAATGGGTTGAGAAAATCTCTGCATCTCTGCTGTATAATATGACAAAGGTTTTATGATCTTTCCACTTTCTCTTTGTAGAATGAGTTTCAACGAACGGTCTGATTATTTGCATTTCGATATTCTTTTTTTTTATTCAAAAAAATCACAAATGTCGAATTGAAATGAAAAATGAAGCCTTTTGGAATTCTTTTAATTTTTTAAGAATTATTAATAGTCTTCGAAATAATTTTGGTTAATTTCTCATTCGAGTAGAGAAAACTATTTCATAAATAAAACCTCAAGATGACGTGACCAAAGATTCTAAACGATTATATTCGACTAATCGAAAAAATAATTTATTCAAATTCAAAATTATAGATCATATTTTTAAAATTTGTGAATCGATACGAAAATTTAAAAATGTGTTTAATTATTCATATTCATAGTAAATCTCAAATAAAAATCGATAAAATAACTTCTCAAATGTAGTAGAAGTCTCTAGATTTGTGTTAATAATGGGAGTACATATACTGAGTATTTTCTCCTCTCTCTAGTGAGGTATGTTGAGAGTACAGTGATTTTTCAGTTTCTGCTCATCTAATAAGAAATTCTGAGTATTGATTTTGTATAAGCATAGTTGATACTTGAAATTCAACATGAAAACAATCGTTTTATTGAATTAAAGATCTTCATTTCTGGACTATAACTAGAATATATGATACATAATACGCTATTAAAGTGATTGTGGTATTCAACATCGAAATTTTTCCATTCAATATTTGGTCACTGTTTCGTCAAAACTGTGCATAGTCGACATTATTTTTAATGATTCTAATCAGAGCAGGATGTGAGTAATAACACAACGACAGCCATACTCGCACCCACGCACACCCAGAAGCACACCGGCATTTACATCCACACACCTTAACCCGCCAACACCAATAAAAATGTTATTTGTGTAAAGTGCACCGATCATAAGATCTATTATATAATTTGCTGAGTTTTTTTCTTTATTTTGAAGTTTAATTTGAAGAATTAAATTTCACTGAACTATAGTCAAGTGTTTTTTTTTCATTTTGATCATAGCTAATTTTCTTATCGTCGCAGTACATTGACGTCAATGTATTGGCTTTAATGATTTTTCGTGTATGCTTACCTAGAAAAAGAAAAGAATCAAAAGAACCAAAAGTTAGATAGAGTAATATTGAACTAGAGTCTTACTCACATTACACAGATAACAAGAGCGTTAAAAAAAATTAAAAAATGTTTTTATAACTGATTGTGTAAGAAGATGCAAAAATGATATTCCTACAGATAGAAATTGCGTCGTTGCTTGGTTTTTTTTTGTAGCCCTTATCTTTAAAATTAAAGCAAATAAAAACTGACGACAGTAGTTATTTTGTTTCTATTACTATCAGTTTTTATTACTGGTGTCTTATGATGCTACCACTTTAATTTACGCATAAGAGTATAGCAAATGTAGTTTTGACAAAATGATGTCTAAATTTATATTGCTTATTTTGTACATGTTACAAAACATTACTTTCACTAATGGACAAATGGTTATACCAATGAAGGCAGAGGATTCATGTGTACCATCAATAATTAGTGTTCGTTGTCAACAGAATTATGTTGTTGTTGTTGTTGTTCGAAGTGCTTTTTACGGTGTTGCACAAATAGCTGATTCATGTAGCTATACAACAGGTGATTGTATTGCTGATGCAATGAGTATAGTAACATGTACAGTAGATACTCTTCAATGTAACATGTATGCAGCAAGAAAAAAGCTACCGCAATGTAATGATCAATATAGTAGTTACATTCATGTTGAATATGAGTGTGTACCCATATCAATGGATGATTCAACGAAAGAATATAATGTTTGTCAAAATAGTACAGAAATAACAAGTGATCATGGAATAATACGAAGTCCCGGGTATCCAACACAATTTCAAACAACAACAAGCGAATGTTTTCGTGCAATACGTGTACCAAATGATAAAATAATTCGTCTATGGTTAACTGAGCTATACATTGGTTCAACGTTGGGAACTTGTGCTAAAGATCATGTCTATGTTGTTGATAGTGTCCAAACATATCGACATTGTGCTCGAGTGCGATATGCTTATCCATATTTATGTTCATCGACAATTATTATTCAATATTATGTTACAACACAATTATCAATCTATCATGGAATGAGAATGTATTTCGAAATAGTTGATCGACCTTCAAATGATAATTGTCCAAATATAGATGGAACAGTAACACCTGTACTATCTACACCACCAACAGTAACAACTATAAATCCAAGTCAAACTACAGCTGTGCCTGCTTATGTTTTACTTGGTATTGCATCACCTGTTCGAAGTTTTCAAATTTGTCGAGGTAAATCATTTTATTTATTGAATAACAAAAAGAAAACAAACGAAAAAAACTGAAATTCTAAATTGTTCTTTTTGTAGGTCAATCATTTAACATTGTATGTCCAGATAATTATGGTGTAATTATTACTACAAATATATTTGGTGTTACTCAATCTGATCAATGTGAACAACATGATGCATCGAAACATTGTGTTATTACAACAGCTCCAACATTTGCATGTCGTCGAAGTTGTACGTTTTTCTATCCAGGAAACCAAGTTGTTTCATCATGTGGTGGTAGAACTGCTGTTTATCAATATATTGAATATCAATGTATACCAACAAATACTGAACTTGTTTCACCAAATACTTCATGTCCATCAGATGGATCGAAAATTCCAGTACTAATTAATCGTCGTGGTCGTTTTCAAACATATGGTTATCCAAGTTTTACAAAAATGAATTGCACTTACCGAATGAAAACTAATGTAGGTTATATTATGAATTTTTATGCACTTGACATTAGTTTAAATGATTTTTCAACTGAATGTAAATCAAATAAAATAACATTTCTTGAAGATGGTGAAAGTGAAGGTACAGATTTTTGTGAAGAACGTTCTTATAGTTTAATTTATTCAAGTTGTTCAAATGAACTTGATGTAAGTTATACTGCTAATGATGAAACAACATTTTTTTCTTCTGGTGCTCAATTATATATTGAAAGTCAAACACGTCCATCTGATTGGGCTTGTGGTAAATCTGTAATAACATCATCTCAAACAACTATTCCAACAACACCATTTATAACACAAACAGCAGTAGCTTTAACAAATGAAACCAACATGTTTGCACGTGATGAAATAGAACATGATATCTGTTTTAGTAGTTCATTAAGTTATAGTTGTCCATCTGGTTATACATTCATAATATTAGGTGCTTTTTATGGTGTTAAAAAACAATCATCAAATCAATGTAGATTTGTTCAAGGTGATTGTGTACAAGAAACATTATCAACAATAACACAATGTCGAACTGATGCACCTGCTTGTTTTATATCATATTCAATGAGACGTCGACTTGCACGTTGTTCAGATCAATATGCTGATTATTTACATGTAACTAGCCAATGTGTACCACAGTGGCGTACGCAGGGGGGGGGGCCGAGGGGCCCGGGCCCCCCCTTGAGACGAAAAAGTCCTGGGGGGGGTACAGGAAAAAATATTTTGACGTGATAAAAATTTTTTTGTGCCATGGCCGGCCCCCCCCTACGAAGTTGGGCCCCCCCTTGAAAAATTTCTGCGTACGCCACTGGTGTACCAAGTAAATTAGTTGGAACTGTATCAAATATAACAACATATGATATCTGTGATACAAATAATCCTATTGCAAGTATACATGGAATTGTTACTAGTCCAAATTTTCCAACTTATAAACAAACAAATAATGAATGTAGAAGAACACTTTTGGGTATAACAGATAGAATAGCAAAAATTTGGATTAATGAAATGGCTATATCAAGTGGTGAACAACGTCGCTCAGATGGTATGAGTTTTATTATAAAAATTGTTTATTTTTTCTTTTCTAAATATTAATATTCTTATTATTTAGAATATTCGAATGAACCTGATTTAGTTATTTCTAAAAATGATGATACAAATAATTTAGATGATATAGAACGAATGTATTCATCTATTCGTGATACTTGTGTCAATGATTATTTAATAATAAATGCTCCACATGTAGTTTATGTTTATTGTGGTATACGTAAATTATCTATTGCTCCAATTTGTGCTACAACTCTAGATATTCAATATAAAGCAACATCATCACCAAACTTTTCTTATAAAGGTTTTAAATTGTATTTTGAACGGATTTCAAAACCAATGGAAATAATCTGTGATAATCCATTACCATCAACAACAACACCTATTAATGAACAAATACCAATTTGGGCACAAAATTTAGAACTTTCACCAATACTTTCAGTGCATATTTGTCTTGGAGCAGCAATAACTTTACGGTGTCCTCGTGGTTCTGATTATGTTCTGTCTATCATTAAATCAATTTATACTACAACAGGTACAAGTCAATGTGAAATTCCATCATCAACTCATTGTCGCCAAGAAGCTTCACTTGGTTTAACATGTACACAATCATGTTTTATTGAATATAATATTCCAAAACCACTTGTTCAATGTGGATTACTAAATGCTGATTATCTTTACATAGATTATGAATGTATACCAACACGTTTACCAAATAATGAAAATCCAATTGATATATGTCAATCAACAACAGATACGATTGCACTCGATAGAGTTATGATGGTTAGTCCACAATATCCCACATTACATGCAATTGGACGTAGTTGTTTAAAAAGACTTGAAGCATCAAAAAATAAACTATGGATGATTTATATAGTTGATCTACATTTGGAAGTCGGGCTAATCGATAATCCTGAATGTGATAGAGCATCATTAACTATTAACGATGGAAAAGATAAACGTGTACTTTGTGGTTTACGACAACCTGAATTAGTTTTAATTGGTTGTTCCAATATAGTTGAGTTTAGTTTTGTTTCAACTAATCAAGCACTTGGTTATCGCGGTTTTAACGTTTATTCTCAAACTATTGATGCACCTACTCATTAGACATGTACATCGGATGGATTTACAACAACAGCAACAACAACAGCAACAACAACAACAACAATAGCAACAACAGCAGCAACAACAACAACAATAGCAACAGCAACAACAACAATAGCAACAACAGCAGCAACAACAACAATAGCAACAACAGCAACAACAACAACAATAATAGCAACAGCAGCAGCAACAACAACAGCAACAACAACATTATGGACAACACCTTTTGGTACTGGTGCAGTAAGTACATCTAATCAGCAAACATTTACGTGTGGTCAACAACCCTTATTATTAGAATGTGATCAATCTGGATATGGTCTTATTTTACATAAAGTACAACTTGGTGCAAGTCAAACTGGTGATTGTACTTTTTCTTCGAATGATTGTGTTGAAGATCGTACTAAAATTTATAATACTTGTGCTGGTAAAACATTATGTTATATATCTACATCTGCACAATCTATGAAATCATGTAATGGCACTAAATCAAATTATGTATATGTTGAATATCAATGTATTCCAACACGTCCAAAACTTATAAGTGATATATGTTCATCAACAGATTCATCTGAAAAAGTTGAAGGTGGTGCAATAATTTCATCACTAAATTATACATCAGAATCTAGAACCTGTAAATTACAATTACAAACAAGTGAATCATTAGGTAGTCAAAGTTACAAAGCATTTAAAATTTATATTCTTACATTAAATTTACCAATACGACCAACATTACGTGATCAAGGTGCTCAATGTAGTGAAAACGATCCATCCATTGAAATAGATGATCCCGAAGCAGGTGTAACACGTTTATGTGGTAATAGTCATGCACGTTATTTACTTGAAACATGTTCAAATACAATTGAAATTCGATATAAAAATTTAATTGTGAATACAGATACAACAAAATATAAAGGCTTCGAAATTTATTTAGAATCTATTCAACGTAATAAATGTCGTCCAACACTTTCACCTTCAATTCGAACACCACCATTTAATATTACAAGTCGAATTATTTGTGGTTTAGCAAGTGGACGTGAAACTGTTAATTTTGCTTGTACACCTAATTATGGTCTAGTCTTTTTACAATCATATCATTTTGTTACAAAAGAGCCTAATCAATGTAATGTAAATGAATATACATGTTTATATCCAAGTAAACAACCACAAGCACAATGTTCAGGTCAACAAACTTGTTCTTATACTTATCCAGTGCCACTATTATCACCATTAAATGCATGTCAAAATAGTCAAGCTGATTCAACGCGATTTTATTATCAATGTTTACCAATGAGACCATCATTGGAATATTCAACAGTCAAGTTCTGTTTTAATTCAGAAACTTCAAATGAGAAAGGTTTTATTGAAACACCTGATTATCCAAATACTTATCAAAATGGAAAACGACAATGTTCACTAACTATTCGATTACCAAAAAATAATGATGGTAAAATATATTCTATTTATCTTTATATAATTGGATTATCTTTACGTGATACTTCAACAATAAATCCATCTTCAGCTACTGAATGTTTTGATTCAATAAAATATACTGATGGTGATAGAACTGATTCTTTATGTGGAAAAATTGATCAACCTGTACTAGAATATTATACAAATAAACAAGAAGTTAATTTAACACTTAATATATCAGAAGCATTACCGTTTAGCGAATGGAATAATTGGCAAGGTGCACGATTATTTTATATTATTGGAGATCAATCGTTGCCATCTCAACCAACATCTATAGATGATACAGATAAATCATCAAAAGGAAAATTGAATCTTGGAGGTCTTATTGCTGGTATTGTTGTTGGTGTTTTGCTTGTAGCAGTTATAATTGGTTTTGTTCTTTATCGGCGTCATTTATTATTAAAATCAAGTATAACACCTACAGTAAAATACGATAATGATACGATTACAGTCAATGGTGCTACAACAAATGAAGGAACTGAAAAACAAACTAGTACTTCAGTAGATTTATTAAAGGAACCAGCAACATGAACATTTATACGTTCATCCTATTAAAAGAAATCAGAATCGAATGAAAAATAAGAGACAGAAAATGGAAGACAAATATAGGACTGTGTTTCCATATTTTCTTTTTGTGGAACTTTTTTAAGTGTTACATTTATCTGGAGTAGCACGGCTCAATAACAGTATCGATTGGAGTAAATGTTCGAAAGCTTTTTGGACAAGAGTTTTTTTTTTGTTTTTAACAGTTGGACTCTGATAAAAAAAAACCATTGAAATGGTTTTTTAAATGTGAACTGGATTGTAGAAACAAAGTAGTTCACTGTTGACAATCGATTGTGTCGAAATCCATAAAATAGCAGGGTAATTCTTTCAGAATTCAACTACACTTCAAAAAAAAGCTTCAAATTGAATGAAACTTAAAAGGTTTGTAGATTCTTTAGTGCTCATCACTCGGCCTTCTAGAATATGTAAATTTTATCAAAAAATGGTGGTAACATTATCAAAATACCGCCCATCCATATTTTAGGCAAAAAAACGCATTTTTCAGTAGCTTTATCGTCTCTAAATTTCACATTTTCGGTGTTAGGGTGTGGATATAGGATTGAATTTTGATGTGGGCGTGCATATTTTATTCGTCCACATCCACACACCCATCCCACCCATACGAACACCTACACTTCTGGTCATGCCCGATACAATGGTATTTCTTCCTGAATATTAAAGTTTATTTTCAAATCGATGCAGTATTATCGATAACAAGAGTCACAGACGAGCGAAACTTTTTCGGTATTATTGGTGATACATGATATCTTTAAGATATTTTTGATGAAAATCGTCTAAATGGACTAGTTATGATATGTATACACGTTTCATGATTCATATTTATATCGAACAAGTTATCGACAATATCTTAAAAATAACAAAAATTGAAATCTAAAGTTTTTTCTATGATTTGATTTTTGGTTGTTTTTGTGTCCGTGGATCAAGCATAACCTAGGGAGACACATAACAGGTCACATTCACTCACTAGTAATTTTCTTGGCTAAGTCCATCCAATCATACATCAACGCAAAGAGCATGTTGAGACTCACATTTTAATATTAGTTTCTTGAGAATTTAGTAGAATTTTGAAATGTATAAGCTATCAACAAAGTAATGCATTTTAGTCTTTATTTTTGTAATCCATTGTATTATGTGGATTCAATTTCAGAATAAGCAGACAGTCCAAAATACTATTAAAATTATGAATTTGGCATCTTTTTGATAGAACTTCAATCCCATCAAATGATGAGGGTGTGGATGTGAGTGTCTGTATGCGTCAGTTTGAATGTCTTCTAGATAGTGTATACAACAACACCACAATCTACACACATCCTTAAATAGTAGCCTTCTCCGTTAAGACAATGCCATTGATTTCTCAGTTGATCAATAAGAATCCAAATTCAACATTGGTCATACCCAATCTCAGATCTGAGATTCTCTCCGGGTTTTAAACTTGTACAGTATATTAGTTTTCCTCAATAACGGATAAAATAAATCAACTGAAAAACGAAAAGATTCGGTGCTTATGCCTTGTTCTAATTTTTAAGTTAAATTCCCTTGGCACTACGTGATTTAAGATTTTCTTCATAGTAATCCGCAAAGACAGTGTTTAACAATGAGAATAAACTCAGATGATTGTAAGTTGCTCGTAGCGAGTTCGAATATAAAATGGTGCTCTTCAAGCATAATATCACTTAGAAAATAAATGAAAAACTCAAAACCGTACTGAACTCAGGAAAAACCGAAGCCAAACTTTTTATCTCAATTATAATTTATACCTTGAATTGGGACTATCTTATAAAAGAATAGCGAAGAAGCTAAGAACCCTGCTCATACAAGTGGTTTAATCTGTTTGAATAGCTCAACTCGGAACAAGATCTGTTTTACCGAATGAGTTAGTGGACCTCATCTACTTGGAGTGATTTATCATTTTTGCTCGAATACCAGGATACTACGAGCATTACCTTGAAGATTATAGACTCAAACAGGGATGCTACTGATGTCAGTTGGCATCATATTGACTTTAGCTAAGGTAATAATAGAATTACCTAGGATACCACAGACATCATCTATTCTGATCTTGTCATAACCTGAGAAACTGATCGCATCCTTGTAAATATCTTTGGTATCTCATATGATGCCTGTGTCATATCCCAGGTCGAAAAGTACCGGCCGGTTCCGGCAGGAAAACACCGGAAATCAACGGAACATGGAAGCAGTATTCCGGCCGGAAATTTTTCGGATTTTTTTCCGGTGGATTCCAGCCAATTCTGTTCTTTCCGGCAGGAACCGGCCGGAAATCCGCCGGAAAAAGTCCGAAAAATTTTCGGTCGGAATACTGCTTCCATGTTCCGTTGATTTCCGGTGTTTTCCTGCAGGAACCGGCGATTTTTCCGCGTCTTTCCTGCCGGTTCCTGCAGTATCCGGTGACCGGAACGATCGACCTGGGATTGAGTGATGCCAAGAGTATCCGATATAACGCTAGTACAATTCTACTTTTCTAGAAAAACAATATATGCATCCGAACAAATAGGTCTATCCACCAATCTTCTTCAGCAAATGTTGATCTGAGCTGCACTGCTCAAACCAGAGACTAAAACGAGCCAAGTCCGAGTCGCTCTCTCAACAATGAAGTCGAATCGAACTGAATCTGAACTACTCTTAAGAAAATTAATTCTAACGAAACCGAACTGGAAGCAGTCCAACTGGGTTCGATTCAATCTCTGGTTCAGACAGTGCATATCAGATCTGAAGAACTGCTTGAAGAGCTCTTTATATGAACTGATCTTTTCGAAAAGTTTTTTAGCTCATTTGACATGAGATCAAGAATCATTACTGCCATAGGTCTGGTAGATTGCGTTAAACGTCACCTAAAAAGTGAACTCAAATCTTTAATCATTCAACGGTTACTTCTACCAAAGTATTTGCGTCAGCGTAACTGATCTTTCAAATTAGCGTCGCGACGTGAGGGCGCGTACTGCTCCCGAAAAACTGGGACCTATGATCGTTTCTATATGCACAGCAAACTCAACCATAAACGTCTCGTGTAAAAAACAGCTGCAAGCCAGTAAATAATCGCTTGCATACTTCCTTTTTAGATACTTAGTAATCGGATAGGCTATACTTACTCAAAAAAAGCTTGTTAGCGAAGTCTCTTTGGGATTGAATATGGAACTCACATATCTTCTTTGATTTCATTAAACTAATCACAAAATACTCAATATTTAAATTCTCCAAAATATAATAGTTCTTTTCTAATGATAATCGATTATCAGAAAATGCTGTCTTTTTTATCTCTATATTTGAAGCAGAAATTTTTTCTTTTTCTGGCAAAGTGGCTACGGCCTGTAATGGGGAGTGTCTGTAATGGTGGGGCCTACGTTGCTATGGTCTGTAATGGGTGCCTGTCCGTAAGGGGAGGGGGAAGGAGCCGCGAAACCTTGACCTTAAAACTTACACTCACTATTTTCTTCGAAAATATATGTGAGTTCCACAAAAAATTCATTACAATACGATTAATACTCTTCGAATTTCAAACTACAATTGAAACTCGCCTTAGCTCTATGTTTTCGCGCTTTCTTACTACGGATTCTAAATTAGGGGTGTTACTTTATCTTTACTTTATTAATAAAGGTAAAAATTTACTTTATCTTTATTTTATAAAGAATAAAGATAATCTTTATTTTAAAAAATAAAGTTAAAATAAAGAATAAAAAATAATTTGTTTGGAAATTTCAACGAAATAAATAAATCATGTTGTAACAATAATATATACATATTAATTAAAAGTTATTTCATAGGATTATTTTTATCAATTGGAAAAATAAATGCAAAATATAATACGTAATAAGTGACAATATGCTAATACCTTTCCTTATTTCAATGAATTGCGTTTCTAAATCCTATGTTAGTTATTTCAATAACTTCCTTCGTAATAACTGAAACGAAAATCAAATCTTACTCATAAGCTTTTCAGTTAACTATATTATTTTTCTAAAAATTGTTAGATTTTATTGTAAAAATGGCTACGACTCTAATTCAGCTAAAGTTCTGCACAGAATATAGTCTTTTGGTTGATTCGTTTTGCAACATAATTATCATTTTTGACATTGACGTAAATGAAGTGTTGGTAACAATATTCAATGACGAAATCACTTTGCTTTTAGGAGATGGCTTGACCTTAGTTGACTAACTACTTTCTTCCAATATTTTTTTCAACCATGCAAGCCATGTATAAATGTTATATCTCGGATTTCTTCCGGAGGGTGTGAGTGTGGGTGTGGGTGTGGGTATGGAAGGGTGTGAATGTGGAGGTGATTATGGTGTGGCTGCATACAGAACCCTCACCCAACCACACCCACACCCTAAGCAACAATATATGATACGTATTTTAAAAGTCTTAAAGAACATCACAAACGGATATTAGTATAAGAGTCAGTCTCAGAAGAATCATATCGATAGCAAAATAATAATTCCATTAATCATTCACCAATTTTAAAACTATGAATGCAATCATGACCTTTTTTCTGGCACTTTACTGACTTTGTATTACGGCTTATTTTGGACAAAAAATATTCCTACAGTACGAAATATTTTTTAATTGACATCACCTGTTGTTAATAACAGCGATTTATTTATTTTGTTGTAATTTACAAAAGTCATTCTTTATTCTTTATTTTAACTTTATTTTTACAAATAAAGATTATCTTTATCTTTATTTTATAAATATAAAGATTTACTTTCTCTTTACTTTTTAAAAAATAGAGATTTCTTTATTTCATTATCTTTATTTTTTAAAATAAAGACAGGCCTCGCAGCGTGTGTACTTTCCTGATTTTTTCCTGATTTTTTAAAGGTGTCCTGATTTTCCTGCTTTTGACTGAAAAACCTGTTTTTGTCCTGATTTTTCAAGATTTATCTCTGTAGGACCACATATACGTCATTTTGATGTTTTATTTTGTTATACTCAACGTTTCTTAAAAATT